GCTGGCTTTTGTGAATTGCCCCTCCCACTCCCCCATCGCCCCAGCCCCCTCCCCCTCTGCGTAATGAATGCCCTTTGCCACCCTGGGAGCGAGGGGGGTGATGGTGCCGCTCCTGGCAGGCTGCCTGCTTGGAGAATCGGGCCTGTCCGTCAGCGTCTGGTTCACAAAGGCACCTCCAGGCCCCATCCCAGCGCCCTGTTTTCCCAGTTGAAGACTGAGCATGGGGAATGGGGAGGGAGCCCCTTGTTGGCCCCCCCACACACAGTTGGTGACTTGGGAGGGAACTTTAGGCCCTGGTGGTGCCCCTTCCTTGTGGCCTCTGCCTAGTGCTGGGTGAAGGCTGGGACAGGGTGGCACTGCCCCAGGGCAGACAGGGAAACGTCCTCCCCCATTCCTGGAAAGGCACCGGCTGCAGGTGGCCCAAGGCCTTGACAGTGGCTTGGTGGCCCGGCCTTCGTGGTGGCCTTTGAGGACAGGGTCCTGGGAAGAGCCTATCAGCTGACAGGCTGGCAGCAGGGCTGAGGTTCCTCAGGGTGAGTCTCTGAAGGGCCCAGCCTGGGGCCAGACCCAGTTAGTGTCCTAGACTCCCTCTGTCTCCTTTAGGGACCATGGCTCGGCCTAGGCTCCTCGGACATGCCCCACTTACTGGAGCACCAAACTCTGCCCCCATGGGGCTTGAGGTTTGCTGTGACATACAAGTGAGGCTCTCTTGGACAAAAGCACACGTCCCAGCCCGCATGGCACTGCCCTGTTCTCTGGTGGCTCTAGAACCAAGCTTCTACTCTGCCCACCAGGTGATGGTCCCACGGGCCTCTCACACACAGGCCTGTGAAGATGTGTCAAAGATGCAGAAAGAGGGTCGGGGGCCCTGGCGTTGGATGGGAGAGGCCTGGGGGATTTCTCCTTGTGGGGCCTCTGGGTAGAGAGAGTGGGGTCCCCCCTGTTCTCATGGGTGTGGGGGCTTCTGTCCAGCTTGGAACCTGGCTGCCAGGCTGACCACCACTTGTCTGCCCTGCAAAAAGAGAGGGTCACGAGCCCTCTTTTTAAGGCCAAGTCCAGGGAGGAGAAGAAAAGCAAGGAGCTAGGCCTGCAGTGCACTCTTGGAAGCCCAACTGGCTTTGCTTTTCTGCAAGGAAGTTTCCTCATGGGGTTGCGTCCAGAGATGGGAGCTGGCCTGCCCCCAGCAGCTGGCCCTCCTGCACCACCCGTCTCCCTGGTAGCCCGTCCCCACTCACGTTCAGAAGAGTGGAGAGGAAGAGGCCCAAAGACTAGGGTGCTAGGGATATAAGGTTGTGAGATGTGGCAAATACAAATCAAGGGTGCTCGGAAATAGGAACTTTGGGGGCCAATGCACACGTGTTTCAGGGTAAGTATGTCCCAGGACCTAGAGTAGGCATCGGAAAGCATGTGTCGTTCAGCGGATTTCAGTTTAACTGTCCTGAATTTCATCTGGAGACCGAGTGTGCCTCCTGAGTAATGAGAGCGCGTGGCCAGTCCCTGCTCACAGGAGGCTTGCAGTCAAGCAGGGCAGAGGAGGGGCTGGAAACGAGGGGCTGGAAACAGCACTGAGGAGGGAATGTGGCTCAGAAGGGTTGCTGAGGGCCGGAGGGACCTCACCTGGGATTTACGGTGGGGGCAGGTGGCTTCCCCATGCAGGCCAGACCACCCAAAGCTTTGCTCCCTAGGCCTCCATTTCCTGGTCACCTTCAAAGACTTGCGATGAAGGTGAGGATGCCCTAAGGCAGGAGAAGCCTTGAGTGCTTCTGAAAAGTCCCTGAAGTAAACACACCAAGGAAGATCAAACATCCTGTGTCAGATTCAAATGCCTTCCAAAGATTTCCAGCCCTGAGCTTTAGTTTGACCAGGGGCTAGGTAGGTGCTCGGTGGTGCTTACCCCCAACCCCACAGTCCTGGCAGCCCACCCATCCCTCCACAACCCAGCGAGCCACCCTCACCTCAGCATTCGGCCTTCAGTTCTCGCTCAGTGAATTATCTGTTGACTGGACCTCATCCTCTGTCCCTTCAGCTTTGTTTTGGGTCGCTGAGAACAGCGTGGGGACAGAGGAGAGCTGGGGCTGGGCACAGGTGAGCCGTTAGAAACCTCAACCCTCACGCTTTTCCCAGCGACTTCCGTCTGCTCCTCTGTGCCGTGCTCACTGCCCATGGGAGGAGACTCTGGACAGGAGACGGTACTGCAGGACCAAGCACCCACTTCCTGTGCAGCTGAGTTAGAAGCCCACCCCACCCTCTCCACCTCTCCTCCGTGAAGACAATTCGCGTTGGTGGGGTGTCAGGTCTGTGGGCGGCCGACGCATCTCACGTTCACCCAGCCCCGTGGTTGCCTCTGCTGTCAGGCCGGCGCCATCCCTGTGACCTGCTGCAGGCGGCCACTGTGACCGATAGGCTTCTCGGCCAGTCCCCGGGCTTTCCTTCCTACTCCGTCTCCGTCTGGAAGCTCTGCTGACACCCGTTCAGCGTCCCTGACAGTGAGGCGGTGACTGAACACAGGGGCAGAGTCCCCGCCAGCAGAGATATGGTGCAATGCATGGGAAATGGTTCGCTACAGATCATCAAGCACAAGGAAGCTGTGCTTACTTTGCCTACTGACTGCTCTATCCCTGTCAGGAAGGGGGCGTTTGAAAAGGGGCTCAGATTCTGTGGGACGGGACTGTGAGGTTGGGGAGACACAGATCCCAGCCATCCCCAAAAGCTGAATCTTTGATGTGGTGAAAAATGTGAAATTGTCTGCTGCAGATCAATAAGCAAGCACAAGGAAGCCCATGCTTACCTTCCTTCCTGGGTGATGTGACACTGGCTGTCCATGTGGATGTTAGCCAGGAATCAAACCCACACGGAAGGAGGGACTCCGACCACCGGGCGGCCCAGCCCTTGGCTCAGTGAAGGCTC